GTGCCCTTCGTCGGCTGTCGTGGTAGCATTGTCAAAAAACTGGTAATTGAAGGCTGGAAATTGCGTTGTCTACTTTTTAGGGTATCGTATTTATACCACTTATCTGGTATCTTTGGTGTGATACACGGTTTGCCTTGTGTTACAGGTACAGTGCTAATCACTTCACGCGGTTTTAAATATGTTACAAATCGCTCTAACTCCGCATTACTAGAATGCTCAGAATACTCAATGCCAACAATATTGATTTGACCGCGGAGCGATGGTTTGTTATTTTTTTCCCAACCGGATGGGCGAAACGCAAGCACAGCATCAAAATGGGTGTGAAATTGGCGAAAATACTCGACTAGAGACTGTAATAATTCTGTGTTATCTTAACAACTTTTATTAATTAGTAAAAAGTTATTTAGTTACTTACCTGATAGCTTACTTTACCAATGGATATTACATGCATTTGTGCCAAGTAAGGATCATCACAAAGCAATCCGCGAACTTCATCTAAATCCATTGCCCGCAAAGCTGTCAAACGATTCTTCTCAGTCCAAACTTTCAACCCAAACTCATGAGCCAACCTCGTCCAAAACCGCTCTTTACCAATCACATATGAGCCACAAACATATAATATGCGCGTTGTTGGACGCTCATTGTGAAACTTCTCTATTATACATTTGGCGCGATCGATACTTTCATGTTGAGAGCAAAAATTATGCTTATGCGCAATATATGTGGTATCAAGATAAATTCTATCAATGTAATTATTCCAGAATATCGGCTCGGACTCCATGTCCGGTGAGGCTCGAAAATCGCCGGTGTGTAAAATGCAACTTCCGGTTGATAATTTAAATACAAACATAACCGCGCCTGGGCAACTAAATTGAGAAAGTCAATAAATTAACAAATCAATTTCATGCTGAGTCTACTTACTGATTTGCATCGATTGCGGTGACTTCTACGCCATTAATAACCAACGGCATGTTCAGATCGATTTCGTGCAAATATTGATCTTCTACGGGTATGAGAGCACGCACCAAACGTGCTGGAAATGAAAAAAAAAAACAAAATTATGCAGCTCAGTGAAAATATCTGTGTGCAAAAACCTGTTACCCGTTAATGGACTCACAAACAGTGGCATTGAAAATTTTCGCGTAAGGCCTTGATAGTGGTCCGCATGAAAATGTGTAAGAAAGTAGTGAGTAACGTCTGCAATCTGTCCATATTGGAATGCATCAACAGCGAACGTAGTACCAGCTACAACTTTATATGGCGGACAAACTCGTATTTTCTTTACCCTACCACTCTTCGACGTAGAAGGTAGAGGCTTCTTATCCTGAGTGGGAATTGGAGAAGCGTTGTTGACTTCAACAATTTTCGTATTAACAACGGGGCAAATATCGAAATTGGATGCCCAATTACTACTGGATGCATCATTGCTGGTCTGTGGTGGTGTTGGTGGAGTTGAAGCAAGAAGTTTTGTATTTTCTTTAACCTTCATAGGCGTCTTTGGCACAGTTGCTTTTGTCATGGATCTTGTTACACATGCAATCTCCCTGCGTTCATTTGTATTATTTCGATCTTCGATTTGTGAAATTTTTTTATTACGGGCCACATTTACTTCGCTCCTTGGTTTCGCTGACTGTGCTGACTTTGGCATTGTAGCTTTCTTGGGAAAAACATTATCATGGGTTTCCTTAATCAGCTCAGATTTTATGCTTTTCTTATTGTTTGAGGGCCCACTGCATTTTTCATGGGTATGGCGCCGCACAGGGATAGAAACCATTACGGTAGATTCCATGGCATTTTCTTCTGGCAGCGTGTTATAGAGATCGTTTATGTTTTCTTTTTTAACATTTTCAATTCGTTGTGGGATTTTTTTCTCTGCGTTTTTATTCTCAATTGAATGGAAATGCTCGTCTAGCTCCATCAAATTAGGTTTTAGGTCTTCCCTTTCTGTGTCATCATCAGAGATTAAATCTATTAGAATATCTAATATATCTTTGGATTTTTGTTTAGGCTTTTTGCTGGTGCCACGAGCAGCATTCGCTGGCCCAGATCTTTTGCGCACTTTCCTCGGTGGTGTTGGTGTCATATTAGTGAAGCCGCTCACAGTTGAAGCAGTAGTGGTGTATTCGTCCTCCTCTTTGAACAAACGCTTTCGTCCTTTATTTCTAGTAGTCCTACTTGTGCCACGTCTTCTATTGTTTACTGATTTTGTATTCGTTTTCGCAGTTGAATAACTATTTTTGTCTGTCTCTGTACGAGGCTCAATTTTGTACGACTTGGAACAGCTCTTAAAATAACTATCGATTCGCAACTGGCTGGGAGGCGGTTCCTTCGACCTGAAATTCTTTTTCGTCGTAGTTTGTATATGCGCTGCTGTAACTGTTTTGCGTGTAACACTTGCTGCTGCTTCAACTTCCGAGTCCTGTATAAGTTTTTTGCGAGTTGTTGTAGCCGCCTTCTTTCTACCTTTACCTTGGTTTAGTTTCTTCGGTGTGCCTGCTGAAGTTATCGCCCCAACTTTATTTATAAATTTAACTTCACAGTTTTCATCTTCACTGCAACTGTTCAAGAATTCTACCTTCAACTCCCTAAGACGATCCGTCTTAATGCGCTCAACATCAACCATTGCATAATATTTACGATTTGTACTACCGGAAATCCTCTGATTAGGTTTTTACTTCGATTTAATTTTACTTTTCTTTGGAGCTTGTGAAATTGTTTACCATCTGTCAAAATATAAGCGGGGAACATCTCGTAGAGGTGGAAAAATATCGACGATACTATCGATAAGGTTTGTGTTTTCAAAAAATACTATCGATGTTTTAAAACTATCGATACTATCGGCTGTATTTTCGAGAAATGAAAAACTACATCTGTAGTTAAGCGCATTTTCCGCTGCACAAAATCTTAAATTTTCTAATAAATCTATAACGATATGTTTTATTTTTTTAAAAAGCACCTCAAGATCTGTGTCACAAAACTTTGGGAATGGTAAAAATTACAGGTATATTTTTAATAAAATATTAGTCTTGTTTTAAAAATATATCGTGTTTACAACTATATAATATTTAGTCATGGTTGATTGGAATAAAGTTATATTAAAAAGTTTCGTTTTACAATTTCTTTTAAATACGGCGTTTTACTTGTAGCATGTTCTCAGTGTACATACACATCCGATAAAGAAGTCGAAAGGGATAAGGATCCTCAACCGTTAATTTAACCGAATTACGGAGCTTTTATTAATTTACGTAAGCCCAGTTTCACGAATAAATTTAAAAATATATCAGACACAATTTTGTTCGGAAAACTTGTCATTTTAAATTTTAAAAGGCTGATGAAAACAAAATTGATTGCTCCAACCGGGCATTAACGTTACGGATCCTAAATATCTCTGCCATTAAAAAACAAAGCTTTATATTCCTATATAATATAAAATACCTTTGCATTCCAGTATTGCCTGTGGAGTCAGAGAGTTTTAAGTTCGACGGGATTAACTATTAATAGTAGCCGAACTCTGGAAAAGATTTTTTGTAGAAAAATATTTATATGTGCAAACAAATACATGATATAGTACGTTTGACTTAACAAAGCTAAATATTTTAATAAAAATGCATATATGTAATATATATATACTGGCAGTAAGAGCTAAAAAGCGTCCGAAAACATCGCAGTACAGATATATAGATAAACACGTGCAAAAGAAAATGAAAACATACGTTTATAAATAAAAATATGTACAACATATGCACAAAAACGGCACTCACGTACACAACACATACACAAAAACCATACTAGACTGTGGCACTTTGATTTCGGAATGCTTACATAGTGGGAAAATAGCTTACTGCCAATATAGAAGTATTACATATATTTATTAAATTTTTCTTATAAATTAAATATGGCCGAAGGTATCGATATATCGATAGTGTTCATCAATACTATTGGCAAATGTCGATGATCAC